GTGATGCTGCCACGTCCGACGAGGAGCACTTCCGTGTGCACTCAATGTAATGAGAGAGATTTTGTCTCAATTGCGGTGCGCTTTACTGCCTTGTGCGGGTCGTCCTGTAATGAGTAAGACTTTGTCTAAGTTGTGATGATTACTGCCTTGTGTGGGTCAGCCTGACCCACTTTTGACCGACATTGTGTATGGGTGCGCCCCGAAATTGTGCGACCCGACTCTCCTGCGATGCCACGTAATTGTCTTCTTGTGAGGGCATTTGGGATGCTCCATGGCTGATTTATGTTAATGGCTTCAATTAACAAGTTTTGATTCTTAATTAAACGACATCGACGATTTTGCGGTTGAGTTTTTCATTAAGTTAAATGAAAAATTCTCATAATTAAACTTTATTGATATTCGATTTTAAATGACAGATTTTTTTCGTTATTTCATTTCACATTGTTTTATTGCCTATGTTGCGTGTCTTTTAATTAACAATATTGCCTATTCAATAAAAATATTGATCGAATTGCCCTTTTCTTATGACGTCATGTCAGATCATGATCTATTTGTCATGTTATTTTGAATTTAAAAAGATTAACACATTTTTTTTAAATTACATCATTGGATTTTTTGCTGACTACAGTCCCAAGATTTGTATTAATCTTCATGCATCAGTATTCGCATTACTTATTATTAGAATTGATAAAATTTACAAATCAGAATCAAACAAGGGTTGGAATGTGAACATTTTTTTCCCTCCGCAATCCGCTAACATTTCTTCGGAAGTAAACTGCAAATGTTAATTTCCTAAGGCTGTATAATTATGATTACATCATATTAATGGTGCTAATGCCACCTAACAAGTGATTAAAACTTATGTCATTCGGTTATTGCGAATAACTCAATAATTATGCATTAGATTCGGTTTTAGCAGCGATTGCATGATTGCAGATTATAGTTCACAGTTCACGTACGTAAACTATGAAAAATTATATGTTTGGGAATGAATTTCTGGCATACCAGTTCAAGCGATTATTTTATACGGGGATTGTATTTTCTCTACCAGTGTGAGACGGATCTCAAGAGAGATCTAATCCATGATTCATGTAATAGCAAATAACTAAAACTTAATAGATACGGTGGCAAGGTAATGTAAGGAATGGTCGGTGAAATTTATTGATTGGCACAAGAACAGAAGTTACTTTGCGAAATAATGTGGTCACTAATCGAATTGCCTTTGAATTGCTTGTTCGTTCCTTATTTTTTAAATCTATTTTTTTATCTATTCGGTATCAGCAGAATTGAGATCGTTAGGCTGAATGAGGTAGTCGCAAAATTTTTATCGTATTGCGCTCCTCAACAGTTACGTGGTTAAGATTTTGCTTCAATCTTTACCTCGATAAAAATAATAAGCATATATTTTATACATTCACTTAACTTATTCCCAACATTTGTTCAACGTTTACTAGGGTATCAGATCGATTACCCGTTCGTTGTCATGTGTCTTTTAGCGCAATATTCCTTTCTCTAGGGTAAAACATCAGAATCTAGGGAATTGTGACTAGACGGCAGGCAATGTTTCAGTCTTTAGTAAACTTCTGTGGAGAGTGGAGGTTTTCTCTCAGTGTGCGCGTGGCGTGATAACGTGTGTCCTCCATATGACAAAGCTTCTTTTCTTCTGAAGTTTCAGGTATTTTTTGTTGTGCATCTCCATTATGAAACTTAATAATTTGATATGGGATTTATTACTTTTATTTGCTTATAGTATGACTATGCAATGCACGAATAAAAACTAGGTATTCAATTAGCTGTTAAAATTTTCAATTTATTGCCGTTGTGTAGGATAGTATAATATTTTTATTGAAGTTTATCCGCCGTACTTACCCAGTCTAACTAAGGATGATCTTGTGAATCCATTTAGTTAAATATTCACTCTATATTATGTATTTTGCCTTGGATTCTAGTTTTCAGTCATGAGTCATCACATTTGACTTACAGTATTTTCTTTTTGACAACACTGCTGATAATTAATGAAGGACTAGAATGGTGGTTTTTCTAACATCTATAAGTAGTATAAGATATATTTTATTCTTCTTTTATGTTTTTCATTCCAAGTCTGTGTCTGACTCTATCTTAGAATCTCCCAAATTTGACTTGAAGACTAGAGCTTATTCTCAGCAGTCACTGAGTCAGCTTCATATGGAATTCTGGATTGAGCATCAGGATTGAATTTGCTACTCATAATTTTTTTGATCATGCTTGGTGCTTGAAAGCTAAAATTTAGCCTATTAATGCTTTAAAATTTTTGCTTGCTTCTAGTGCTATTTATTTCTTAGTTATTTATTTTATTTACTTTTTTCATTTAAGCTTACAACCTGACCCTGTATTCTGTAAGCTATAGTATTAGCATAGACGCTGCTTTCTTAAAGCTACACGAGCAAGCAAAGTTTCTACAAGATTTAATGTTGCTATTAATGTGTTTGTTTTTTTCTGAATCACTCCAAATGTTCCCAGCCTTCATATATGGATCCAAAGTTGTGCATTTAGAATAAAATTGAAATTTCTATGCTTCCTTATCTTATTTTTTTATATTATATGGCTAGTTCTTGGCAGACTTGGAATACCTTATAAGCCTTGAGCAGAGCTTTTCTGCCATTTTTAGAAGCACAAGATTACTACTAAATAAATTGCCTCCTATCTAATTGTTGATGAAAGTTCCATTAGATTCTAAATGAATTGAAACACTTTGGTATTGTTGAAACACACTTTTTCAAAATAAGTAGCAAAATTCCTATCCTCGGTTTAGGAGTAGGCTAGGTGAACTTTTTGTGTGAAAAAAATTAGTGTAGCTTCAAAGTGACAAATTTTCAATACATTTGGTTCTTGTGGCACGAGTGAGCATTTTTAACAAAAATATAGGTAATTCATCTTGTGGCTTCAACAATGCAGGGAGAGTCTATTTGCTGCTCGGAACGTTGCTGTATTCCACGCCTGGCTCATTCATGATCCAATCTGTAATATTGGGCTGAATTTTTCCAAATTGTGGGCAAAAATGTGTATATTTCTTTAATAAATAAGGCAAGGTCTAATAAAATAGGTGAAATTATCCTCATTCAGGGGAATTTTTGTCTCATCAATGATCAATGAGTGGCTTGTGCTGATTTTGCATTTGAGGTGATGTTGGTAAAGCTAAATGTTCCAAACCATCCAAACTGGAAAATTGGGCTGGAGCCACATATGAAGAAGACAAATATGACATGCTTGTGGACAGTTTCATCCGTTTATATGGCCTTGCTTAATTTATTTGTTTATAATAAAGAACAGTGGCACTTTTTTGCGCTTGGTTTAAAAATGACCTGTAAACAATTGCTTTTGCATCCAATTCTTTGAAAATTCTGCCTGATAATCCAGATTGACTAACTATGACAGCAGCAATAACTTAGTCATGGTGACTTCTGACAGCTAGTTTTAAACAAAAACATTTATTTTTGCTAAAATTAAGGACAATTAGTATTGATCAAGATCAGAGAACCAATTTATGCAAGTGAAATTGCACCTATCCAAAGTCAGATAATTTTGGTTGAATATGTAGTCTCACAGCTCCAAGTTTATTTATATTTTGATTTGATTTTGAGAATATATAAATGCAGTTGAGAATATATAAATATATGTATGAAACTGTCAAAATTATATACTTTGTCCAAAACTTTGACTTGAAAGGCTCATCATCTGCAGTCACATCTGACAGTTTGTATTTAGGAATAAAATATTATGCAACTATCAGTGGATGTTACTGAGCACAATAGTTTTGGTGAGAAGTGATTTCACTTCTATCATCAGAGTCAAATGAACAGATTAGCTTGATATTTCCAACTTGACCAATGTATGTCTCAAAGGTTATTTGTATAGCTTGGTATGTGGGCAGAAAAAATAGACAAATATGCAAAGGATGCATCTGAAGGCAATGCACAAATCTTTGACTATTTTCATCATCTCAATAATCAGCAATGTATATTTATTTGCATTCCCGAGCTTTACATACTTAGTGAGTTGTAAAATATAAACTTTTATGAGAAGAATTCTTATTATTCTCTCATAATTTGCTTTATTCTCTGCTTTGGTCCTGAGTTTAAATTAAAGCACATACATTGAGTACATGCATGCTCTCTGTTGTGTTGTTTTGACAGCCTCTGGCAGAGTGCTTCAGTTCTTATTTGAGAACTAAGTGAACTGAGTACTATTGAGTTTAAATATTTCTGAGTTTAATAGTTGATATTTTCAATGCTGATAATTATGCACTACAAGGATCCTATTCAACACCATTGTTACACCATCCATGAAGATCCTATCCAACACTACCGGTATATATCAATTAAATTTCTTACCACCAGTTATGAGTTCAAATTTCAAAATAGTCTAAACCTTCTTTATTATTTAAAATAGTTTTCATATTGTATGATTTTGTTGTGTTATCCTGAATTTAATTTCAAAATTTAAGCATGTGTATACTAAGTAGTTTTCATGCAATATACCTATATGATTTCTGTATGGGTATGATGTTCCTAGTTTTTTGTCCATTTTTAAATTTAGTTCCTTTTATCATGATTTATTCTTCATCCAAATGAAAGTAAATGAAAAAATCTATGTATCAAAAAGATATTTATGTGTATTACAATTTTTGAAATTTGGCTGTTGATGTTCAATGCTTTATGCTATTAAACTGATGTAATACCTGTTATGTACATTAAGAGTTGTAACTCAATAATAACCACATATTTCTTATCTTTTCAGTTCGTGTCTCCTGGCCGTACAAAATACAGAACATCATTCGATTTCTTAGGTAAATCAGAAAAGAAATTTCCTTAATTAGTTTTCCTTATTTACTCCATGAGTGATAATGCAGTGCCAGTTAGTGTAGCGCCAAGATTTCTCTTCGTTTCCATGCACTAGATTCCCTATTTTCTGCCGGCCCTGCCACTGCGTGCTCATGACCACAGACTCTCTAAATTTCGTGTTCCACGCCCCCATCGCTGAGCTCGGCCATTGCTCTCCACGGGCGTTACACTACCGGCACCATTTCTCCCCACACCAACTCGACCGTCTCATACGTGGACCGGGTCCCTCTTTTGCCTGAAGTGAACCCCGTACTGGACCCTGCTGGGACAAACTCCATCGTCGAGTGTGCCGAGTCTGTGTCGGCGGAACAGCCGCGTCGCTCACTACGATCGCATCGTGCGCGTGGTGCTAGTGAGTGGAACCTTAGGGCGTTGCTGGGGTCCGTGAGGAGCGGTGACGCTGGTGCCCAGGTACATACGGCCCAGCCCCCCAGCCCGCCTGCCCAGCCCCCCCAGCATCGCCCTCCTCCTCCCCCCCAACAACAACAATACCCCCCACCGCGGGTTGACCCCCTAGTATCTATACTTTCGGTGCCGTCCACTGCTACTTTGCCATCACTTCTGCATCTTCATCACAAGGTCAGTCTACTCATATGAAGTGTCTTTAAAGTCGTTACTCATCTAATTGTCTTTAAAGGGAATAATCTCAAAAATTTCCTTTAAGCTTGTTAATATTAGCAATGTCAGCTCAGTTATGAAGCTTGTGGTTAGTGTTACAGTCGCACATGTACGTACTGTCCAGATAACCTCAGGGCAGATGTGATGCTCTTGATCAACATAATTCCCTTCCTGCAAAGTTTGTTATGGAAATAATCGTCTACTGAAGTACTTACCGACACAAGTTGTTATTTCATGTTAAACTTGAAATCAGTTCTCTGAAATTACATTGAGTTCATCTATGATTTTCATTTATATGGCTAGAAATTACATCCGTCTCTTATTTAGAATTCAATTTAGTATGTTTGTGTTGAGTTAGATATATATTTTCATGGACACTTCATTGGAGACTAATTGTGTGTTCTTCGCCGTATCGCTCCTACACAAGTTTTTTCAAGTACTGATAAATTGAGCTATTTTGGTATGACGTTTAGGCCAACTTCTTACCTTCCCCTTCAGTTGCTTTGCGATGCTAGAGGCTCTTGAGATCCTCTTGAGATACGTCAAGCTTGTTGTTCATTTTGTTGTTCAAACGACGGTATTTCTAAAGAATTTGATCGTAATAACATTAATTTAAGTGTGTTTTTGGTCACCCGCGTCGACGAACGTAGAGCACGTGACCTGAATACGAAAAGTTTTGACGCATGCCCAAGATAAAGCAGAGAAGAAGGCCATAGCTGCCAGTATAGCTATCGTTCACAGTGGCTGAGCGTAGAGCAAGACATTAGGAAGGTCGGATGACCATATCTGCGTGCATTTGTTCGTTGTGGTGCGAGTACAATGATGCTATTGAGGTCATCAGGCTCATGTGTTTATCGGTGGGCGTTATGCTTGCTTCTGCTCCTAACTATCCGCTCCTATTCTCATAAGCTCATGTCTTCTTGCTTATTATTGGAGTTATGATGTTCTATGCACACCCTATTGTTGCATACGCATGTTTATTTTAGTGAGAGTTTCATGCATTTGCCGAGTCTTTTGTCGCCGCGGAGGCTTAACAAATACAAGTCTTTAGAAAACTTTTGAAAATCAAACATTTTTGCTCGTGTCTAAAAGAAAAATTCTTCCTTGAAATACAGGAACGCATCGCAGTCATCCTAGGAATAGGACAGAAGTTTAAAATTTTTTAAACTAAAGACGACTATTCTTTCTCAACCAGACTCGATTAGCAGAACGGTGAAAAATGGTCTTTAATTTTGCTGTAAAAACATTCGTTTTGCGAGAAATTTTGTGATGCGTCATCACTACAGATTTGAGTCCCTAATTGACCGATTTGTTATCAATTCGAGTTGCGTACTCCATACATCGTCTTGTTTTCTACTGAGTTGCGTACTCCATACATCGTCTTGTTTTCTACTGAGCTGCGCACTCCATACATCGCTTTGTTATCAATTGAGAAGAATTCTCCATTCGCCTCTTTGTTATCGAAGTCGCTGTACATGGCTTTGTTATCAACTCAGTTTGGTTCTCCAAAGATCGATTTGTTATCAACTGAATTCTCCGTACATCGATTGGTTTCTATTGAATTCTCCGTACATCGCTTTATTATGAAATGTTGCAATTTATTTTATCGCTGAGGATATGTTGCAGTTTATTCTGACGAGTGTTTTCTTAACGCAATCATTCCCCGTAAATTGTTCGATTGAATTCCAGGACTTCCGTTCATGGCTATCTTGTTCTGTGCTTTCATCTATAACGAAAATAATTTTTCATTTAGTTATTCGTACGTGTTATTTTCATGTTATTCCTGTTGACCTCGAAAAATTTTATTGTGCGATTAAGCTAGCCAAGCCGTCAATCACTACTGAGACCTCATCAAAGTTGATACTAGTTGATAATAAAATGTCATGAATTTTAACTGCGCCAGAGAGCAGCTTTGCGTAGTTCGCCAAGTAATGTAGAAGCAAGAATGGAAGACCGCCTTCTTTATCATAGGTTTGGTAGTTGTGTGTTGCTACGGATGTACTGTCCTTGACGGCTACAGCGGCCGGCGTCGTAGACCTTGGGATTCACGAGGCCTTACATCCATCGCTTTTTTTCCACCCCTGTCCGGACGGCCATCTTATTTCCTCTAGTGAGCACTCGATTAGGTCTCCTATAATCCACCCCACAGCTATTGCTCGGCCCTCGAATTTCTCCGAATAAAAGCATGAATGACGACCTCGTTTCCTGAGCATTTTCGTGAAAATATACCGAAATTATGAAAATATATCAGATATTTTTTCGTTTTAATCAACATCAAGAAATCTATCCTGTTCTGCTTTGTACACTTCAGCAATTCAGCTCTTCAACTCGAAGATGAACGCTCAGTATATTCGTTTGACGGCGAACCATATATATATGCATTCAATGTGTGGTGAAGAGAATCATCAGAAAATATATGCCCCAAGCGAGACCCTTGATTAATTCAGTTTACATTACGTTAAATACGTTAATTAATCATACAATTTATTTTCAATAATAAATCACAATAATTGGTACCTATTTAGTTGAGTTATCCTTGTCCTGAAATTTCATACCTATATGCTTAAGTTCACAATAGAAGCATTTGAAGTTACACTGCCCTCGATTACCGCATAGCAGAGCTGGCATGATGGGCATGTTATGAGTTACTACTCAGTACTCTATAAATTATTAATCTTGCTCCTACTTACGTCAATCCACATTTCATCTCACCAGGTTTGTTTATGCGAAATGTGGAAGCTTGCCTCCACAGACCGCGGCTATATGCATGGGTCTCTGAATATTTGGTTCACTATATTATTACTTACTGTGAGTTATTCGGTACATAAACTTCTCGTTACGCTGGCAAAAATGAGGAATCAGGTTATATTCCCGCACAAATTTTCTGTATCTCCAATTATATGTGCATGTGTACGAAAACTCGCGGTGCATGAGCTGTACTGTAGTCTAAAGTCTAGACATTTCTCTATCTCGTCTACGTATTTTTGCATTCATCGCCCGTAACGAGTCCGCCAATTCTAATCCAAACTCCTAATGGCGGGCTATAATCATATAAGAAATACCTTGATAATATCTGTATAAGCGACCCTGGCAACGTTGATAATCCGATTATAAAATCTTGATAATATCTGTATAAGCGACCCTGGCAACGTTGATAATCCGATTATAAAATCTTGATAATATCTGTATAAGCGACCCGGGCAATGTTCACTGTTCACGCAGAAGATTGCGGGCCTGTAATGTGACGGGAGGTATAGAGCGCTACGGGTTCTTCCCTGCTGCATGGCGCCCCTGTGATGGTGGAGAGTGTTGACAGCTTCCCTTTAATGCAGCGTCTCTCCCTTCCTTCTCGCGCTTTATACCTGTACACTCTGTGCACTGTACAGCTGTGTACTGTACCGTCGGCTGTGCACTGTACAGCTGTGTACTGTACTGCAAGCGGTGCACTGTACAGTTGTGTACTGTACTGCGCGCTGTACACTGTACAGCTGCGTACTGTACTGCAAGCTGTGTACCGTGCCGCAAGCTGTGCACAGTACTATATACAAGCTGCGTACTGTACCGCAAGCTGCGTACTGTACCACAAGTTGAGTACTTCAAGCTGTGCACTGTGACGCCTGTAACAGATCCTTGTGTTTATATTAATAAACTAGACCCATGCCATCATTTCTGTAATTAGTCATCAACAATTATCTGTCTTCAACTTGTATGTTATTTTTTTGTTAATAAATATTTGTTTGCGTTTATAAGTCAGTACAGTGAACAACACAGTTGATAACTTGTATCTCATGCTGTCCATGTAATGCCCTTGTATGAGTACCATGCAATTAATTGACCTTTATGAGTAGCGTAATTTATTCAAGTGTCTTTCCGTGGCTGTTACATAGATAATCTCCAAACGCCCCATGTACTATTATAATGATTCAAGTTTTATAATGATTAATTAATACAGTAAATTCAAATTAAATTAATAATTTGGTTGCTACGTCTGCACTAAACGAGTGTATGTAATGTTTGGACGAAACGGCTTCACGCAGTGTTTGCACGGAAGGTTTATTCACAAAATTTGGACGAAAATGTTTCTTTGAAAAATTTGTTAACCTAATTTGCATGCATTGTTTCTAAGCAACGTTAATATAAAATTTAAGCGCAACATTTGGACGAAACTTGTAATCAAATAATTTATTCTGAAGTATTGTGCAATATTGATAATGTTAATCGTATATGCGTAAACTTAGTACGAAAGTTCTTAGAAGTTTTTTCCCATAAAGTTATCTTTAACATTTCTGTTATACCTTGAAAAGAAGCGCTTTTTTTAGAAATTTTTCAGATGTGACAATATTACACGTTCATTCTAATCTTACGTACGAATTCTATGTGCAATGCATCAAGTTAAACTGCTATATATTATGTCGTGGAAACTGACCGTAATACGGTAATTAAGATGTGAGTGTGAACGGTCGGCTAGTGTCATTATTGCATTACTAGCATGAGACCAAAGTGCTGATGTGACACCGTTAGCACGGTACTGGGCCAGTATAAGACCGTTACAACATAGGGGCCGGCGCGTGTAGCGGGCGACCCGATCTCTTCAGTACTGCTACCGCCTCCCCCCTCACTGTAGCTCTCATACTCTGTGTTCTGCTCACCATCCTCATTCTACTCACTTCTCATCTTTAAAAATGTTGATAGAACTCCTAGTGATAGGTAATGAATATTATATATATTGTATTAGATGTCATCTATAAATTAAAATTTAGACTAAATTAGGCGATTGTTTCTGCTGGAATTGTAAGGGTGAACTCAACTATGAGAGTAACGTGATTTACAATTAGCATATGAGTGATGAAAATTATTATTCTGTGCCTCTGATTATTCTGTTAACGTTGCAATGCTCAATTTATTCGTAAAAACTCTGAAATTTTTCAATGAAGAAAATTGTATTTCGTGGATTTGTTTTT